ATGAATTTATATGATAGGTCACAGAGAGTATGATGCCTATTAAAACAGAAAGGTATATTAACAAGGAATGAAATAAGTGGAAGAATCAAAAAATCAAGAAATCGTTTGAATGAAATGGAACCAATGCGGAACAAAAATGGCTCACCTCGCCGGATTTCGTGATGTACCAAGCTGAATTCTCGGTGAGTGCAACCTCAGCGATACCACCACCTTCGCTGGCCACTGCTGTCCAGTGCAAATCAGCTGCTGCTGTTGGAAAGGACCGTTCAGATGCTGCTGCTGTTGTTGCACTACTCCATTCCACTGGAGCGTATGCTATACCTTTGCATATTTTCCAAATCAATGTACCATTATCTTCAAAACAATGGATTTCTAATTTTAGCCGGCTATCACTCCATCAACTGATATTTTGGTGGTTTATAATTATAAGAAATTGTGAAAGAAGGTAAAAATGGAAATGTTAATAAAATAAACTAAAGTATGAATGGGAATGTTTCGGCCCATCAAGTCGCATACATTCCTATTCAGTGCTGCAACTGCGGTTATTCATAAAAATGCAAACCATTAACAGCAAAATGATCGGCCTTCTGTTTGAGTTTCTTCCACTGCGGACTGCTGCAATACGGGATAACGAGAAGTCGAGGCCTTTTCCGCTTCTTTGAATGACAAATAATAATGTACTGCGATGAAACAGAAAATGATACGCATGAGTATGGAAGTTTTATCTGAAAAAAAAAAATAAAAATAATTTAAGTTTTCGATAATTTTCCAATTTGACAAGTTATTCACAGGCACTGGCGAATCCAGGGGGAGCTTAGGTAGCAGCTGTTTTACTGTACAAAAGTCTGCTCGGCAGAACCTGCCGTCCCTCTCCTTACCAGGAGCCTTGTTAGTCTCAGTTTAGTGTCCATTTGAGAGTAGGGCAGGGGAGAGGGAGGGCCCTACCGGGAGGCCGCCCTGGTTTCGCCTATTTTCTCAGGCGTATTCTTTCAGTAAGTGGACTAGTTAATGCTTCTTCTGTTGCTATGCCACTGCTAACAAAAGTAAGTTATTCCGAATAGACAAATCGTTGATAATGTCAATTAATCCGCATCCGAGAAGTTTGATGCTTCAGATTCTCAAAGCATGAGTATAGACTTATTTCATTTTTTTTTCAAAAAAAAAAAAGCTGATTACACAAAAAAAATCGAACCTCATTCCATACATCACCAAAATTATTGACCATAGCTATGTCTCTTATAAGTTGTTCGGAATCTGACGAGAGCGTACCGTTACATGTTGTGTTCTAAAATACAAAAAAAGCTTTTTATCCAGTACGATTTCGGTTTCATCCGCTATGAACAAAAAAAGAAAAAATTGGCATACCACTACAAATGACAATTTGCTTTCTCTTGCATTTTTCATCAAAAATTCATATGCATTTTCCTCATTCTCCTGCTTCTTTGGTGCCAACTCAGAAGGACTAGCGGCATCATTCGTTGCGGATTGTTCTGAAAAATAAATCTAATTCGAGAAAACTACGTTTAAATGACTCAAAGTTTTGAGAATGATGCAGCCTGAATTTACGAAATGCGCACTCATCTATCCTTTGTTTGCTACGCGACAATTCAGTGGGACGAGAATAAACGATCGTCTGAGTACCTGTTGATGTGGAATCCTTTTCGCTTCCCCTTTCCCCATCGCTGTTCGGCTCGTCCTGTAAAATTTTTATTAAAGATTAAAGAGAAAATATTGGAGTAGAAAGGATAAAGAAGGGAAGAAAACGAAGAAAAAGCGCATTTTTATCCTATCCAATTTTCTTATCCCACGTGCCATTCACAGGTTTCAACTGCTCACCTCAAGTAGTATGCTGCCAAAAATGCTGGTGAAAAAAAAAAAAAATCCGACAATCCAACACATTTTTGCAATCTAAGTTGTAGAAATCCATGCATCGGAAGTTGTCTTTCAACAACGACAAAAACATCCAAAAAAATCTATTTTTGGCAAAAACGTCCAAAAATTCTAGTAACTAAACCACCTTTGATGATCGTAAGTTTGCTAGAACAGGCGCCTTCAAAAGCAAATTCGGAAGAAATTTAAAAAAAAAAAAAGCGAAAGATGTGCTGCCCCACCTCATTTCTGTCACAGTCATGTTGGCAATGCTCTAATCAAAGCAAATTCAACGATTATACTTATATGGGTGATTTTTTTGCGCTTTTTGCTGTGTAACAGCAATACAAAACGCATTTTGTCACGGGGTTGTCTGTGTGTGTGTGTGTGTGTGTGTCCGAGTGCATTTTGTCCCGCACTTTCAACTCAGGAATCACAAAAGCTAGGTGACTAAAATTTTACTAGAGTGTTCCCCACGAACGTGTGATCCCGCAAATTTAAATTCAGCCTTCCCGTACCCGAAGGTAACACGTACGGCCCTGTAAAAGTTCTGGCGGGTAAAATCATTATCTCAAGAACCACGAGAGCTAGGTAGCTGAAATTTTATTTTAAAACTCATTTTAGGAAAACAAGCAGTAGGCGATTTAACCTACACACTTCTTGATTATCTTGACTGGTACTCGTCATCGATCTTGCATCACTGTCATGTGTCTCCTCTTGAAACAGCGTGTTTGCTTCATCAAACTGTGACGGGACTGCAAGAGCTGAAAAAAGAAAAAATCGCTAACTTACTGACTGAATTACACGTGATTCACTATGAAATCTTTAAAATTTCACGATATTTTAAAAAAATGAAATTTTACTGTAACACTGAAATCTTCACATCCTTGGAAAAAAAAAGTCTGTTACCAAATTTAACGCTAATCTAAATGCTGCCTGGCTGAATTTGGTATGAAGCTCGGTAAATTTTCGCACCTCGTCAACAATTCACAAATTTTTATTTCTACAACGGCAATTTCAATATTTTTAGCAGCGCAAAAAGAGGGTAGGCACAGACGCTGGCATGGAAATAACGCTGTCGTGAGATACTCGAGTTTTTCAAATACTTTTCTAATGGAAAACCCGACCATTGCTGTTAAAATCAGTCATTTTATGCTCAGTCTGGGCGTTATTTGTGGCGAAAAATGAGGAAACCTTTGATGACATTTCTCAGAACGTGCTCGTCCAGTGGGCC